TATGTGCGTGCACAACTATTGTACGACGGACATTTTTTTGTTTTTTTTTAATAAATATAGAAAGGTCAACTTATTGTTGAATCGAACTCCAAGTGCAAATCAATATCTAACAAGTGGTGACAGCGGTGTCTTTCTTATTAAGAAATCGGTCCCGTGATTTTACATTTATTTAAAATAATTTTGGAAACATCCTTTCTTAAGGATTGTCTCTGTCAACGAATACTTAATTAGTTAAAGGAACTGCCTTTTCTTTTGGTATGTGTCCTTGATGAATAGTAACACTCGTTCGCATTTGAATTTACGAAAACATCACATTTCTGATTTATTATATTGTTCTCCTCCCAGAATACGTAGTGATTCTCATTCTGTTTGTGAACAGTCAAGAATTCGTTTATTATCTCAACAAAATTCATTAACAAGTATGTCAACATCTCAACCAACCTCCGAATTAGTTGAAGAACAAAAAACTTGTGGTCATATGCCTCAGTTGGATATCAAATTAAATTTACAATTATTAAGAGAGCAAGAAAAGATGGCTCTACAATCTATTAAGAACTTAACTGAAGAAGAAATGATTCATATTGATCAATGGTTATCTGTATTACATAAAACATACGAAGATTGGGAATATCCATCATCGCATCGTGTATTTCAAGCCGTTACATATTTTAATGATGAACAAAAATTATGGTATGAACAGATAAAATCTGAAATTAATAATGATTGGTCATGCTTTTGCGATCGCTTAAAACAACATATTCAAGATCGTCAGAAGGTTCAAATTCATTCTTCACCAATGAATTATCCATTATCTGATACTAATGAAATAACATCGATGGAAAATCTTATTGACACAAAATTTATTAAATATTCTGGTATAGGTGATGCCAAGGTTTGGCTATTACAAACAATGAATCAATTTAAACAATATGGATTACGTCGTCTTGAACAATTTCAATCTATACCATTTTTATTAATTGATGAAGCGTATTTGTGGTACGTAGAACATATTGATTTAATCACCAATTTTGAATCGTTTAGTAAATTATTTCTTCAACAATATTCATTTACATCACCACCAGCACCAAATAATATTCTTACTGATGTGGATATACCGTCAAATTTAATTTCTAGCTCTTCATCTACATCAAATTTGCAACGAACAATTGCCGATGAAATTATTAAAAAACCAACATATTTTCGTGGTTCAAAAGATGACGTTCATGACTGGTTAGAAAAATTAGAACAACGTTTTCAAATGGCAAAATGGAATAATGAACAAAAATTACAATATATTTCAATCCATTTACAAGATGATGCATATCGATGGTGGACACAAACATCTACGAC